CCTGTAATCAACAAAACTGTGGACCCACAAGCACTTTGGTGCTGAAGGAGTTTAGAAAAATATATTTAAAAAATCCAAAGTATTAATGCCCATATCGGTAATTCTAAGGTTAACCAACAATATGAAGTTTTATGAAAAATTGCTCGTTTTAACTAAATATAAAGCGCCACCTATAAGAACGTCGGTGTTCATTGAGCATTTTCCAGCAATAAGTGGGTTTTCTGTCTAAGTATTTTACAACGACCGTAAATATGTTAGCATACCTTGCTATAAAAGTATATTTTACTCTTAGAATACTCTCCTTCCCTAGTATGACACGTTAAAATTTACGAAACCATGTTGTGTCGAAAACAAACAAACAAACTACATTTCCAAATTTCCCTGCCGTAAAAAAAAGACACTATGGTAGATTAGAAAGAAACAAAAATGTCGTGAAGAAAATAAAAAACTAATTTGTAACATGATGGTCTATATATTTCCATATTATAAATATATATATTATATGGAAAAATACATGATGGTCTATATATTTCCATATTATAAATATATATGTATTATATGGAAAAATACATGATGGTCTATATATTTCCATATTATAAATATATATATTATGTGGAAAAAATATATAATCATGTTACAAATAAGTTTTATATTTTTCCATTTATGTATATATATATGTGTGTGTGTGTTTTATATATAGACATACACACACACAAGGTTAATGAAAAATAAATAAATGTTTCTCCATGCCTTTAGACGCTGGAAAAGAAAGTATGACAATAAATAATGGGGAGGAAATATATAAATTCGAATTAAAATGAACGTCGTACGACAAATAAAATTAATAAATATTTTCAATCTAACATCATTATATATTTTCCTGTAAAACAATTTTAGGGCAAAAAAAAAAGACATTCAAGACACGAATAAATTCAAAGATTGTTTTGGTAAGAAGATTTTGCTCAAATATCAATAAAAGGGATTAGTTTACTAAATTTAGCCCCATTTAGTTTAATTAATAACATTAAACACACGAAGAACCAACAGTACAATCTTGTTTTTCGTGTGCGTTTCTTTGAGAACTTGTTTTTACAATAACAAAAAAAGTTGTTTTATATATTTTCAAAGTTTTAGAATGGAAGAAGAAACAAGTAATCTTTGGTTATAATTAGCAGGTCATTATTACCTATGGTTTATTAGAAATTATAATTCGAAAGTAATAACATTTACTCTAATAGAAAGTGAGTGTAATTTCGAGTAGACTAATTTCGAGTTGACAAGCTATATGAAAATAAGAGTACAGAAAAAACGTTTAAAACAACATTAATAACATTATAGAAAAAAAAGTTTAACTTTTTAGTTTTTTGGCTCACATAATAGTTTTTTTTATATAGTTTCATACACATACACATAAATATACATATATATATATTTATGTATTGTACTGTTGGTGTTTTTGGTTTAGTCATGCCTTCATAGCATGCAAGTGCTGGTATTGGAAGATTAAAAAAATACCCTGATTAAGTTAGAAATTCAAATAAAGATCACGCGTGGTGGAGAGTGTTGCTGACTGATTGCGTTCCCTCTGGTGAGCATTTCTAATAATGCCTGCCAGATATGTTCTTAAACTATATTTACAGAATTTCTGAAGGTCATTTCTAAATTTGTGTCTTCTTATTTAAATACTACGTACGAAATGTTTAAATGCTTCAAATTTCTAACTTATTGAATTTAGATATTAAAAACATTTATGTTATAGTAACAGTAGTAAATAAACTACTAAACTTCTAATATATTTTAAATTTGTGTACAGTCTCACAAGTCATTATAAATTACTACTTTTTCTGCTGCTTCAAAGACAAATTGTACTGCTTATCTGATTACAGAGCGATTTTTATATATCTATTAGTGATTATTTGCTATGCAAGGTTTGACCTACTGCTCGGCGTGCCAGGCTGCGTGTCAGAAGGTCCAAAGTTTGAGCCACAATATAGGGCTGAAACACGCATCGTATTTTCAGCATTGTAGGCTTTATAATTGTAATAGTCAAGCCCGTTGTTATTTGGTTAAGAATAGCCACATACGCAGCGGGTGCCGCTGACTAATTACATTAAGTCTATTTAAATTAGGGATAGTTATGCTAGAACATTAGGGTCTCTTTGAGCTGGATGTTTGGTCCACGAGTTTCCTAAGGTGCTGTTCGATTTGAAAATACTAACTCCGTCATACAGTTCTTTATTTTCCTGCTATAAACGTTTCTGTGAGGAAGGTCTTGAACCGCTATTTGTATTTTTGAAATGATTTATCTTAAGAATCGGTATCGTATACAATAGATATACTACTATTTTGCTTCTTGTGTTTATATTCATTATTAAGACGTGTTAAAGACAAAACACCGTATTAATATTACCTGATATACATAACGTTAAGAAATCATGTTCTATTTTTGGCTGCTTAACGATATCTGAAGAACGTGCATGAAAAGCAGAGGTGTCAGTCTGTCTGGTATCATAAACCGCGAGGAACTGACAGAACCAATATCGATGACATTTGGTAGAAGAATTCAGGTTGACTTAACTAAAAATCTAATTTAAATAGATAATTAATCAGGTGAACGGATCGAATTTACCAACCATTTCAATGTTACTACCTCAATACCGAGAATGAAGGCTCACTGAGCGAGGAGGTTGGTTGTAGAATACGTAAAGATGGCGCCAAACGAAAGTGGGCTTAATAAATATTGGGGTGAGAGTTTCTGTTGAACAACTTATAGAAAGCTGATTATAAATGAACACGTGAAATATATTTAAGTCATAATTTTCATATAAACGAAGACCGATGCAAAAATAGTTGACAATAAGTATGCACTGTCGCTTATTTTAACGCTGAATCACGTTTACCAACTCGAAATGTAAACCTTAATTGCCTCGTAATTAACGTGATACTATAATAACACCGAACTTGTATATGTAATATAGCTAGAAAAAGTACCCGTAAATACCGACCTTTAAAAGAAATATTATCATTTGGCATGTGGGCCGCCCTGTCTACTATTTCGAGGCGTGACGCACGAGTGGTTCATCCGATGTAAAAATACCCGTGCTATGCACGGTGTTAAATGCATTGTTCCCATGTAACGCAAAATTCCGAAGAAACACTCACCCCAATCTACATTTAGTCATTGTCCCCATCACTCACTGTAACGCAAAATTCCGAAGAAACACTCACCCAAATATACGCTAAGTAACTATCTCCATCACTCATTGTAACGCAAAATTCCGAAGAAACACTCACCCCAATCTACATTTAGTCATTGTCCCCATCACTCACTGTAACGCAGAATTCTGAAGAAACACTCACCCTCAATATACGTTAAGCCATTGTCCCCATTACTCACTGTAACGCAAAATTTCGAAGAAACATTCACTCCCAATATATACATTAAGCCATTGTCCCCATCACTTACTAGAAGAATAACGCAGAATTCTAAGTAAAATGAACCTCAAAATGCTATTTTTGGAAGGAGGGTAAGAAATTTGCCACTAACATTTCTTTTCACTTACCTTGTACACGTTCGACGGGCATCAAAACACTCACCCCAATATACACTAAGTAACTATCTCCATCACTCATCGTAACGCAGAATTCTGAAGAAACACTCACCCCAATATACAC